TTATTAATGCGCATCGTTTCGTCGCGTGCGTCTGCTGCAACTCCGCTACGGATCTGGTGGCGAGGCGAGGAACTCGCGCGGTAGCACGGATCCCGATGCCCTTGTTTTCCGCGCGCTGGCGGCCTGATTGATACCCATGCTCTCCGAGCGTTCGCAGCCTGATGCCCTTGTTCTCTGATCGTTCGCGGCTCATTATTCGCTGCTGGGTCAGCACTGCGTCGCTCACAGAACCATGATCAGGAGCGCAGGGGAAAGTCAGGCGAGCTCTCAGGCAGCCAGTGGTCCGGACGTCCCCACCTGACGTCTCCAGCTGGGACTCGGTGCATCCTCGTGCTGTTGGCGGCGGTGCGACGCTCTTTGTGGCTGGGAGTCCGCTCGTCGTTCACGCGTCGGCCCATGAGTTAAACGCAGCTTCCTGCGTCCACGACGAGGGCTTTGAACAGCCGAACCATATGATGACGGTGGGTTTGCACGGCTCCGACACGCAGTCATGAATATGGCGCGTGCGCGGCGACGCGCGGCGCAGCCCTGCAGCCGGTGTGTCCGAGCACCTGATGGGGGGCGGCCCGCGCTGTTGTCGGCGCCGCCGCCGGAGGCAGCCCGGCTGTATCCGCGCGGTGCCCGCCCAGCAGCGGACTGCCCCGAGGTCAGGTGGAGCTGGCCGAGCCGGCCACCTCGCGGCCCTGCGCCGGTCAGTGCCGGAGTTCTGACCTGGACGGGCTGTGGGCGGGGTCAGGGGTCACGCTCTGCTGGCCCTGCCACTGCTGTCATGGGCCGCCCGCTCTCTCGGTAGCCTGCCCAGAGCAGTCACGTGCCGCTCCAGAAACAGGGCGGCTGGTTTTTGTACAGCATCCTGACGCAATGTGGCCGGTTCTTAGGCCTTCAGGTGGGCCGGAGTTGCAGTCGTTTTTTGGGGGGAGGGGGGAGGGGCATTGATGATAACAAGGCCCTCCTGATGAGGCTGCATGGGTGTTCTGGTTGTTGGTTACTGATTAATATCGCGGACAATAGACCGCGTCAACCTAACACTTGACCAGTCTCGATGATAATCTATCAAGTGTTAGTCGTGGGCAGCGCATTGTCATCATCAACCACCTAACAACGAAGACAAAAACACGCAAAAGTGCTCAACATGTATGTGATCTGATCAAAACCGTATATTTTAACAACGTCATATATGTATCACGCAAATTTCCTATACACAACCAAGCATCGGGTTGTATGTCATGGATCCGATTTTTAGCAACATTCCCCTCCCCAAAAAACACGACCAAGTGCCTCCAAATAAGCCAGTTCGCCATAGCATCGTCCCTTTTACTGAGCCACCCATTACAGCAGGAGAACACCATCGTTCTCGAGAGCTCTCAGTGACCACACTGGTGGCGCTTCTGCGTCGCCTCCGTACCGCGGTCGCTGAAGCAATAACGAAGGAATCAGGTGCCAGGCGCGACCGACCGCGGTCGGGACGCCCGGCGTCGGCGCTGGGCTGGCCGCCACCCCGGAGTCGGCGGTAAACACGCGTGGGAGAGTACCGGCGGCCGGCAGCCGGCCCGACGCCGCTACCGCCGCCGGCTGTCCGTGTCACGGGGCGGGGCCGGTCTCCTCTCACTTTCTCTTTTTAGCGGCCGACCTTGCTCCACATGGATGAGGAGCTGCGGCGACCGGGTCCCAGGCCCCTCTCTCCGCACCGGTGACCGGGTCCCAGGTCCACCTCTCCGCACCGGTGACCGGGTTCCAGGTCCCTCTCTTCGCACCGGTGACCGGGTCCCAGGTCCTGCTCTCCGCACCGGTGACCGGGTCCCAGGTCCACCTCTCCGCACCGGTGACCGGGTTCCAGGTCCCTCTCTTCGCACCGGTGACCGGGTCCCAGGTCCTGCTCTCCGCACCGGTGACCGGGTCCCATGTCCCGCTCTCCGCACTGGTGACCGGGTCCCAGGTCCCGCTCTCCGCACTGGTGACCGGGTCCCAGGTCCCGCTCTCCGCACTGGTGACCGGGTCCCACCCCTCCCTCCGCCCGGTCCGCCTCGGGTCCCGCTCCGCACCGGTGACCGGGTCCATGTCCGCTCTCCGCACCGGTGACCGGGTTTTAGGTCCATCTCTCTGCACTGGTGACCGGGTACCAGGTCCCGCTCTTCGCACCGGTGACCGGGTCCCATGTCCCGCTCTCCGCACTGGTGACCGGGTCCCAGGTCCCGCTCTCCGCACTGGTGACCGGGTCCCATGTCCCGCTCTCCGCACTGGTGACCGGGTCCCATGTCCCGCTCTCCGCACCGGTGACCGGGTTTTAGGTCCATCTCTCTGCACTGGTGACCGGGTACCAGGTCCCGCTCTTCGCACCGGTGACCGGGTCCCATGTCCCGCTCTCCGCACTGGTGACCGGGTCCCATGTCCCGCCCTCCGCACTGGTGACCGGGTCCCATGTCCCGCTCCCCGCACTGGTGACCGGGTACCAGATCCCGCTCTTCGCACCGGTGACCGGGTCCCATGTCCCGCTGTCCGCACTGGTGACCGGGTCCCAGGTCCGGCTCTCCGCACCGGTGACCGGGTTCCATGTCCATCTCTCCGCACCGATGACCGGGTCCCGAGTCTCGCTGCGAACCGGCGCGGCCCTGGGGAAAAGGGCGGGACAGGGAGGGAGGGGGGGGGGGGGGGGCGTACCGTCGCCTCCGGGTAAGGATTGTCTCCAATCACTGACAATGGTTTAAGAAACCTTGGCCTGCACTATCTCCGAGCTAGGAAAATCCCGACTATTCGCTCCGGGCCTTACGGCTGTCACTGCGCAGCGCCGCAGATGAATTGACGTCGAGTGATTCTGTCTGTGATACAACAGAGTCCACAGTCCGGCCCTGTCTTGTTTGTGCGGTAAGGGTAAACAAGGTAGGTTTTCCCGTCGGCGAGGGAAAATGCAAGACAACATCCGAACATGGAAATGCCCGAAATGCTGATGTAAGACACGGTGACTGCGGACAGCATCAGGAAGGGACAATTGTGAGGACGCCGCCCAGTTGTGGACATGGAGAGAGGCGTGGCATCATGCGCTGGGAGCGGCAGAGAGGAAGAGAGAGTGACCTTCCCTCCGAACGGCTGGACTTTCAAACGGGAAGAGAAGACCGACTGCTTGCGTAGCGCAGCACCACCTGTGCAGAGTGACATCCCATACCCGCGCTCGACGCCATCGGTGCATGGCGACATCCCATACGACCCTGGATTGGGCGCTGATGCATTATGCAGCGTGTCAGGAAGGCGTCCAGTGCTGTCTTCGAGCCGGCCACAGCGTCCTCGGTGTATAATGCATGAGGCAGGACATTTCCGTGACGCCCCTTCCGTCTCCACATGTCACCAAAGCATTGCGACTTGAGAAGAACGGATGTGTATTCCGACACAGGCCAGCTGCGATAATTGTTCACATCGCCCCATAGATGAACCAGTCACCGGCGAAAATACAATAACTTACACTCACTCTAGCTTCTCCGCACCCATACAAGCAGACCGCAGCATTCACCAAACACGCAAACAACGCTAGATTGTGCCGACGAAAATTCGGCACGACGTCATATAAACATGTCAACATCTTCTTAAAAGAACAAGGTCGGGCAAGGATCCGAGTACTTGTACCACAACTCAGTGCACGGGCAACTCGCGCTTCCACGCGATCCCAGCGTTTCGCGGAGTGGCCGAAGGCTGGTGCACGGTACAATCTATCACAGCATGCTCGCCCCTCATCACAGCCGTGCGCGGCGGGAGGTTAGGCCTGGGCGGCGACGGCGGCGACAGCCGGCTGCGAGCGACGACGTAGGGCACTCGTGAAGCCGGTCGTGCCGTCGGGCCCGCGCGGCGCGCGCACCACGTTCTCCTGGGTGACGAGCGAGCCACGCCGGTCGCCGTCCAGCGCGCCCGACGCCTTGCGCCGCTGCACCCAGGGGCACGTGCCGGGCGGCGTCGGACCGCCGAAGGACGGCGGCGACGTCTTCTTAGCGCGGGCGGTGGGCGCGGCGCGGGTCGCGCCGGCGCCGCCGTCAGCCTGTAGGCGGATGTCAGTGGAGGCGAAGACGGAGCTGCCGCGGCTGGGCGGCGACGCCCGCCGGGGCACCAGGCCGGCCGGCAGCGGCAACAGCGGCGGCGGCTGGCTCAACAGCGGGGGAGGCTGGCTCAGCAGAGGGGGAGGCTGACTCAGCAGCGGGGGAGGCTGACTCAGCAGCGGGGGAGGCTGACCCAGCAGCGGGGGGAGCGGGCCCATCAGCGGGGGGAGCTGGGAGAGCAGCGGCGAGCCCTGCGGCGGCGTCGAGCGACGAGACGACGGGGCACTGAACTCGCCGTCGGTGCCGGACATCGAGCCACGGCTGTCCGAGTGCTCGAGCGGCATCTTCTTGCGCCGCTGGCGGCGCTTCTTCTGCGCCTCGGCCGTGAGGCAGCCGACGAGGCTGATCTCCTCCTCGCGGCTTGTGACGTTCTGCTCGTCCTGGCGCGACTTCTTCTTGTTGCTCACCTTGCCGATCGGGATGATGTGCATGCCGGCGGTGTCCTCCGGATCGTTGCAGCCCATCGTCTCCTTAGCCTTGCGAGCCTGCTCCTGCAGGTCGAACTCGACAACGGCGCAGTTGACGCCCTCCCACGCGATGTCCGGATGCTTGTTGAAGGCGGCGCGCACCTCCACCGGGATGTTGCTGCCCGGCTTGAGCACGCGGATGCTGCTGATGTCGCCGCAGCTGCCGAACAGCTCGGACACGGACGCGATGGTCGGGCTGTCCAGCGGCAGGTTAACGGCGACGACGGTGCGGCTGGTGACGGTCTCATCGTGCTCGGGCAGCGGCTGCAGGCGGCGCGCCTTCGTGCCCGCCTCGCTCACCTCCAGCAGGGCGCTCTGCTGGATCGCGTGCGCCACAGCACGCCAGTCGCGGCTGATGTGCTTGACGCGCTTGAAGCTGGAGATGAGCTTGACGCTGACGAAGCCCTCCTTGTTGCGCTTGACGTGCTTCAGCAGGAAGGCGTCCTTCAGCAGATTCTCGTCGGAGAAATAGAACTCGACGGCCTCGACGATGCGGTGGCAGGTGTCGGCGTCGGGCGGCGCAAAAGCGTCGGCCTCGACGCCGCTGTCGCGGCAGTCGGACAGTGACGAGCCATCCGTCTGCGCGTCGGCGGCCAACCGCTGGCCGTCGGGCCCGGGCGGCGACGAGCCCTCGCTGTCGGACGAGGCGGCGCTGGCGGCCGACTCGCGGCGCGCCGGCAGCGCCACGATCGCCACGGGCTGACTGACTTCCATCGGACCGGACGCGACGCTCCGCGCTGCACGGACCCTCCGCTCGGCTCTGCTGGAGCTGCGACACTCGGCGGCACGAGGCGGTCCGCGGCGGGCGGGGCGGCGTGAGGCAGCGGAGGTCGGGTGGATGCCGGGCTCTGGGACGTCAGAATCGCCGTCCCCAGCCGTCGACTGCGGTGCCTCTCTCCTGTCCGGTGGGTCAGCGTGCACTACGGCCGCCGCCGCCGCCGGCCGGCTATATAGGCGGCGCTGACGTCACGGCCGGTGACGCGCACGCGCCGGCGCCCGACGCCGCTCTACCGGGAACGGGGGCTGCCGGCCGGCCGGCCACGTGCCCGCGGCCACGCCGCCGGCCCGGCTGGGTCGCAGCCAGCGGAGTTGGCGCGAGGGCCGCCGGGCAGACGGGGGCACCCACCCCGGCGCCGGCTCCGGACCCGGGCAGTCTGGGGCGGCCTGCAGCGGGGCGGAGCGGGCGAGGGTCACGGCCGGAGGAGAGGCGGCGGGATGGGGCTGCACCGGCGGGTGTTGAGCAGGTCATGCCTGCGGGCGGCTCGGTCCCTGCAGAGCTCAGACTGCACACGTCACGCCACAGGCTGCCGACGCGCCGGAGGCCAGCTGGAGCGCGATGACGTCACCGACAGTACGCCTGGACCGTCCCGGGCCGGCGCTATGCTATACCATGATGCCGTCAGAGGGCGTGCCCGGCATGGGAGGGGTTTTTATTCACGTCACGCCAAGTGCGTGCTGGAGACGCGAACCGGGCGCGGGCGCAAACGGTTTGGCTCGAAGGGATTTAACAGTTGTACTTGATATTTGGCATGGCACTGGAAAAAGCAAGTCTCACGGAGATCTTGTGACGTCAGAGCTTGTGTCAGACTTATGCTCAATTCGCCCTCACGTGGTTTTAATGGATTCCGATTCAAAGCTTTTGGGTGCCGATTGATGACTTCAGGTGGCTCTAATCAAAGTGACCTTCTAAGAAATTCGCATTAAGTTTTAATTCAGTAAGTTGTTTATTTATTGAAACCGATACGGACTCTGATTCACGGAAGGAGGGTCTTAACCAAGAGCCAGGTCATCTTTATTCCCATCAAAATGGGTAAGCTTATAAAGGGGAGCAGGACCCTAGTCTCCAAAAAAGACGGTTTAGAAACTGGTACCTATGGCATTTAGGTACATAAATCTACGCCATATGAAGCAGCGTGTGAGAGGACGCAGAGCTGCCCGATAATATTTAGAAGTTATCTCGGAAAATCACAAAGCATCCAGGTTGTAGTTGTACTATGCACCAACTACAAATAAGAAAGGAAAAAGAAAACACGTATTTTCCTGTTTACCTATGCTGCTAGGACATCTGGCGATGGTTTCTACCTGAGTGGCGTACGCAAAATTATTTGTATCGCATTCGCCAAAACAAAAAGCTAGATTTTGATTGGTTGTGGGCGCCGTCTTCCGCTCACTCGGTCGTCGCTTGTGTTCTCATTTTTGCTACCCTGGCGGGTCAGTCGACAGCTCTGCTCTGAAGATGCCCGTGGTTGTTTCCTACGACTGCCTCCTGTGGTCTTTTTTATTAGCTCATCGCTATGAGGTGGAACACACATCCCGCCGCATTTGCTTAGCGCACAAACTAGCTTCTGTCGAAATGCGACCTTAAAATTGACCTTGATGGCTGATCTTGAGGTGTCATGGCCTTTCTACCGACGGTCTTTTATGTGCTGAAGAGCACTTGTATGCTCGAAGATTCAAAAACGGCCTGTATCTATTGAGTGGTATGGAGTACCCATCATTTGACCCTAAACTTGATCTTGCATATTGGCCATGGGAAGCCAGGACTTTGCGCAAGACGGTAGGTTCGCATGCTGGAAGAGATTCATTCATTCATCATTCATCATTCATTCACCCAACCATTCAAAATCGGCTTATCATTTATTTTAGCGATATCCGGTTCCACTGCAGTTGACCTTGAATTTGGCCTTGAAGGTACGTGATGTGCAAAACAAACACCAGATTCGGTGTTCTCGAGCCGTACCTAGCTGACCACCTGAGGCGTTTCCATTGAAATCAGAGCCCGTCATTGAATACAGCGGTGAGAAATCTCTAACTTCACAAACATCCACAAAAGTCTTTAATCCAGACCAAAACTGTCACAATTTTCCACAAAAAAGAGAAAAACGTGTTTCAGAAGGCGTCGAACTGCACGCACGCCCACAAACGGAATTGCACAACGTGCCGCAATTGTCTCATCTGAATTACCAGCAGGTGCGAACATCAAATTCATCAGCATAGCTATGTCATTGAGCCACCTTTGGGCTCACATGGCAGTCTGCCTAACCCGTCTCAGCTGTCAAACGCCGCCCACGACCAAGCAGGTGATTCCCCGGTTGTCAGCACCAGCCACTGATTGGGGAACTCCCTCTGGTGCGGTGACCGAGGCAGACAAAGGGATCCCGGATGGACGGAGGCTGCAAACGAAGTGTGGCGGTAGCTGCAACCCCCCCCCCCAAAAAAAAAAACCGCTATAAGTGGAACTGTGTAGTGTCTCTAGAAGTGTACTTCCAACAATTTGTTTGCGCTTTTTACTTCAAATAGGTGCCCATGCCCGCCATTTTCCCAACATCCGTGCCCAACCCAGCCTTTTGCCCCCTCCCCCCCCCCCCCCAATGGGTACCTATGGATTTTCCCAACCCGTGAAGGCTTCTCGTAGGATGCGCTTTCGTGGAAATTTGTCATATCTTTGTAGTGAATCTGGCTGAACGACGTGGTTAACTTTTGGGTCATTCGAAACCGTGAGGATGGCTTGTTTGTTTGCTTTTCTGCTTCAAAACATCATTAAAAAGAACGTAATAAACATACGACGCGGGATCGCTGCATACGTCATTGGACTTTTATCGGGACACATCCTTCCACATACCATAAAATGGGACACCGGAAGCAAGAATTTCGCTAAGAGTCTGACAGGACACAACAAGACGGCACCACCGCATCCGTACTCGTCACCCGCTGCGGCTTTGTTTTTAGAGCCTTCATGTTGTAATCCTGAGAGCATGCAGCGAGAAACACACCACGCCCGTTGATGATGTTTGCGCCGTACATTGGTGCGTGCATGGCGTTAAACTTCGAAAGCGGGTTGAATTTTTGACCTGATATTTGCGTTGCATGCTTAAAAAGGTTGCGCCCATAGCGTTTTGAAAAAGGTATAAAAGAGTATAACAAAGACGGATCGTCTCGGGCCAGGACCGCAGATACAGTCAGAGACGGTAGTTTAATTTTCTAGCGGCATGAATTAAGTGGGAAGCTGCTCACACCTTTAGCTGTATATGAAAAATGTTGCCGTAGCTTCCACCGTATGAGAAGCATCGTGGTGCTCTGTGGGTACCTGTGTGATGTGCTACAGCTTTTTTTGAACTTGTGTGATGTTCGTGCGTGTGTGGGGTGTGTGTGGGTGTGCGTGCGCACACACACACGCACACCTACACACACACAGCGGCGCGCGTGCGTGTGTGCGTGCGTTTGTGTGTGTGTTAGTTTGCTCCATGTAGGAGTGGTGTTCGTTAAGAATGATCACCGTGAGCACTTTGTTCTGCTCTCAGGTAGTGTAAGCGTGATGGAATTTCAGAGCGCCCTTCCAGGGAGCGTTACGCATGTTTGACGGAGTGCCTCTCTCCTGCAGTGAGGTCGTTGGCGTTCTGGGGAGATAAACATGTGAAAGGATGTTGGTTTGTGCAGCCTTCGTCGGGTCTTTAGTGTGCGCCAATCCAAATCTTGTCTTACTTTGTCAATTGATATCCTACGTGTTGGTCCCTGCCACGCATCTACGGACTCGGTTTGAGTTCTACCTTTTCCAAATCATTGTTAGTCGATGCGTGTCCTGTACTACGTCCACGACAAAGCACAGTGTCCAGTGCCCGTTTCCAGCAGTGTCACATTGGCCCAAAAAGCATTCTTACATGGGTTGATTGCAAGATACAACGTTCACTATATGTGCCATTGAGTGTGATACGACTCATCTCTTAAGCTAAATAAAGGACGGCGGGCCTGTGACCTGTGGCCTAGACCTGTGGTTGCTTCTTTTGAGATACTTTTTTACGCCATGGTGGTGTGCCAGGCCTATGAGTATGACAGTTCTGATGTATTAATGGGCTGTGGTGCCAAAGGGAATGCCTTGACCGGATCAAGTCAACCGGCTGTGTGTGATGCACTCCACAGTCGAAAGTCGAAAGTCCAAAATAAAAAAAGCGTGACCCACTACCTCCCATAAATACCCATAACATCCAGATCGAGTCAGTAATAAGGACCTGTGTGAAATGCAATTTGCCACGTACCCTTAAGTTTTTAGTTACCTTGGGTCGAAGTTCATGCTGCCATTGGGGCTGACCGTGGAGGTAGAAAGCTTGTGGAAGGTTCAGCACGGTAGATAGTACTTCCGAGTCTCGCGTAATTTTCGTCATCAGATCATGCCCAACCTTTTAGTCCGCTCAGGTGTGAGAGCATCCCTCCGGAAGGTACGATCTGTACCTTCCGCGGGTATATCGTGACGCACCGATGCAGTGACCGATGAAGCCGTGTGGGGCTCGCACACCCACGCTACGTGCCAAATCGGGCACGTGGTGGCCGTGTGGTTAGCACCTTCGGCTCCTACCTGGTGGGCCCCGTTGCGAACCCCAGTAGAGCCGTGTTCACTGAGCGCAAATATACCCATACAGTCGCTGGCACTTTATAAAAGTGTGTCCGACGACATGCGTCGCATCCTCTAAGAAAACGTAACAAGCCAACACCCAGAGCGGTGACAGCCGCAAGCTACCTCAGTCGAAAAGTCCGTAGTGGTGGGCGACCGTCGCTTATCACGCGCGATATGATATCGAAACGTCACAGGTGCTGACGTCTATTGTCGCAGCCCTTCCGTGCAGACGTACGTCAGACCGGGGTCCCGAGAGCCGTTGGTGAGTGGTGGCACGATGGTTGACATGATCGCGAGCTGTGTTTGGTCCCGGTGTTGATAGAGGGGACGGTTGTATAACCGTGCTGCGCCGTGAGTTCGCGCTGAACTGGCCGGCAGGAAACAGACAACGTCTACCGCTGGGTGGGGCGACGCCGGGGCTGAGGTGGGACAAGCCCGTCACATCGGCTGCCAACGTGGGGGCGAACGCGTCGCCGGAAGGGACAAAGGAGTGGCACGGACGCACCCGGTGAGGGGTGCAGTCA